CTCATAAAACCAGGGTTGGTATTGTACCATGGTTTGCTTCTTATTGGGGGGTGGGAGGGGGGGGGGGGGAATTTCCAAAAAAATTGGGGAAAACATAATGGTAGCCCCTATGTACATAAATTAAGCATCCTTCCTAATACTAAGGCAATATGCATCAAATTAGCTCACAAGGCACTCTGGCAAACCGAATACTGCAGAAATATAGCAGTGAAATTATAGGGACTATCCGAAAAAAACAAACTTTGTTATTTTCATCTGTTGAAATACTTACATTGTCATAATATGATGAAAGTTGAAAAATTGTCAGATAAAGTTTTAGAGGTGCCGAAAAAAGCCTAAGTACTTGGTTTCCCATCATGCTTTGTGCTAAGGACTCATGTCCGTGCACGTACATTGGCTATTGTTGGATGTCGTCTAGTCAGGCAAGAAGGGCCTTGTTACATGAAATGAAACTTTCAGCTGAAACTTGCGTGCAATGACGTTGCGAGATAAGTTTCAAGTGAAGTTTCAAGTGGGTGTTACACGGCGTAATTTTGTCCTGAAACTTCTTCGCGAAACAAGTTTCAGTTACACGAGTAGAAAGCAGTTCTACTTTTCGTACAACTTTATCGCGACGAAAGTTTCACCAAGGCTAAATTGCACCGTGTAACATCTCCTTGAAATATGTCTCACAATACTGTTGCACACAATTTTAGGCTAAAAGTTCAATGTGTAACAGGGCCTTAATGCTCCTACAAAATAATCCTGGATCCACACCAGAATAAGGATAAATCTTCACATATAAGTGCAAGACGAATTTGTCTTGTACTCAAATAAGAATTACAAGGCATTACAACAAAAACTGATTATATATAATAAAAGCTTCAAATACAAGAGCTGAATGTAAAGAAAACTACAATAGTCCCTTTGCAGCTCAGTAATCACGTGCTGAGAGCAAATGAATGAACATCTTGATTCCCATGGGTGAAATATACTGCTAAGCAAAAAACTTTCTACATACTGTTTTCGAGAGATCGTAATAAAACTACATTTCGTAGCACACTGGTTGCACATCGTTTCATTCAGTTCTTTACAAGTAGCTAAAAAGAATCAATTTAAAATTAGATAAAAATTTTGCTCACCAGTACAGACACGTGAACGGTTAACTGCAAAGGACCTATCAGAAAACTATACGATAAAAATCAAACCACAAACTGTAGCTGTATGTACAATGATTATAAAACATGTTCTGATAACACTCTAGCTAGTCTGACATAACTCCATTCAATGTGTCTAAATATTAACCTTCAGTCAATCTCGTCTGAACAAGTTTGATTGTTGGAACAATAGACCTTTCCAGAATTCACTTGGATGATCACGAAACAATGGTTTAAAGTCGAGACTAAACTTGATTCTTTTATTCATCAAGTCCAACCTCAACTTGAAACCGTTGTTTTGTGATCAATCAAGCGAATTCGGGAAAAGTCTATTGATAGAATTATCTGGATGATGTAAGACTGTCCAGAGAAATGACTTCCATTACGAGAAAAATACCATGTTTCACTCTGAATAGCTGAAATACTGAAATTG